CTAGGGGCCGAGCCTGTGGCGCTCAGTAAAAAAGACAAAAAGGAAAAAAAAAATACACCACTAGGGGCCGAGCCTGTGGCGCTCAGAAAAAAAGACAAAAAGGAAAAAAAAAAATACACCACTAGGGGTCGAGCCCGTGGCGCACTTGGGAGAGTGCGGCGCTGGGAGCGCAGCAGCGCTCCCGCCGCGGGTTCGGATCCTATATAGGGAAGACTGGTGTGCTCACTGGCTGAGCGCGGTGCGGCCGGTCTCAAAAAAAGGACACACACACAAAAAATACACCACTAGACTGAGTCCTGCTATCGCCCTTGACTCTTGGGGGAGAATGTTAGTGTTACTTAATTCTACTACTTGCGTGTAGTTTAGAGAAAAAGGAAATAAGGGAGTAGACGTCAATTTTGATGTCTAAGAAGAATACTATAAAAATAAATTGGATTGGGATTATATTAGAATATTTTTCTTGGCAATGTTTTAATCTCTTCTGCTTTGTTCCTTCTCCATCATTTGGCTGATCTGATCTGTACCAAAGTAGTAGAAAAATAAACAAGGAGGAGTCCATGATATTTTGGGTAATCAAAATTGGAAAGAAAAATGCTTTTAATTAGCACATGGCTTTTATTTTGAAATCAGTCTAAGCCTGGTATGACAAAAGAGCAACATTTCTCTTTTAAAGAAATATTCTCGTTATTTATCATTGTGACAGCCTGTACTTATAGGTATGGAACCAACTAGTATTAATACAAGTAATGCATCATTACTCATTTTCCTGACCTTCAGATGGCCTATTTCAGCTCCCTTGCCAAAGGTTGCACACTAAGTTTTGATTGTAATGTACTGATCATATATAGACCTTCCTCTGGAGGCCTCGTTATGTAATCCTGTCCACAGTCCCCTGAATCTTTTCCCAGTGCCCAGCATGAAAAATTAATAGGAAACATCCATTTCATGTAAATTTCCTTTATGCAATCAGTAACATAAAACTAAGGACCTTTAATAAATAACAAAAGAGGGTTTCAACCCACACCAAGCAAACCTAAACATCTGCTTTCAGTTTGTGCTTTGAAGTTTCAAATTTTCCCATTGAAAAGAAAAAAAAAATCATAACCTTTGTACTGTCAACAATTTCAGTCCCTTAAAAAAGGAAACTGGGCAAGGATAAAAATGCGGTCTGAAGATATGCATATGATAACTAGATTTGGTTTTATCTAGATATTGTTTCAAATCTGACATAACTGATGATTGTTTTCTCTGAGAAATTTCTTAATTATTGCATCGTTTTTTTGAGAATATAAAGATGTAGGAGGACGTTGCAGTAGGAGGGTTTTAGGCACTTTGGGAAACTCAGACATCAAAATATGGAATTCCAAAGTTTTCAGGTTCACAGGCCAGTCTTTTGTTGATGAAGTTGACAATTTCTCTTGGGAGGGATTTAAGATTTCTCTAAATATCTGCTTTGCTCTGTATAAATTGAATTAAGCCATAAGCATATTTTGAATGACTAAAGAAGCTGCTTTTCAATGGGAACGACTGTTGAATTTTGGTAAAGAAGCCTTTGCTGCTATTACTCCTACTACTAAGGTATGCTTATTGAGCATTTAATATAGTCTAGGCTGGAGCCAAACTGCCTAGATGAACATTTATTTATTCCATATGTATTATTTCACTTAATCATCAAAAAAATATTAAAAGCTAGATACTATTATCTCCATTTTGCAGATGTGGAAACTGAGGCACTGAAAGTTAAATAATTTGTTCTCAGTCCACAGGTAAGTAGGCTAGGGAGCCAGGAATCAAGCTCAGGTAATCTGGTTCCAGAAATCATGCGCCTGGTAACTCAGTGGCATAGTTTTCTTCCCTAAATTGACTGTTACTGCCGAAATTACCCAAATTATCTAAGTTTTGATTTTATCAGGATGAGCTATAGCTGCTGTCAAATCAAGACTAAATTATTCGTCAGTGTATTATTAATACTCAAATAGAATAGTAGAAAAAATACATATCTACATTTAGGGTGTTTCTTCCTTTGGGCACAGATGATGTATAAGAATAATCTACTAACTCTTCTCCCATATTGCAAGGAAGAGTCTGAACCTTTCAAAACAGTGAACCCATAATAAAAGTTACTACATCAGTGCTCTGCATTATATAACAGCAATTCATGTGCATGCGAATGTATTTTGCAATGAGACATTTTATACTGCTGAATGCTAATTGGATGCAATTATCTCAATTTTGTTTTTATGACTTTTCTATGCACATAAGGGTGGATTTTTAGCCATCCTTTAAGCAACGGGTGTTAAGAACTCAAGATCGATTTCCAACAGAAACATGGCTTTTTCTTTTACAGAGAATTAAAGCAAAATGGAAAGGGCTGAAGAAGTAATATAGTGAATTACCCAAAGATAGTTTTCTCCTTTAAATAAACATTCTAGTGAAAGATGAAGGAAATAATTAAGCTGCAGAATGGATAATAACAAATGAGTAATTTTCAGATATTAAATAGAACAGTGTGATGAGTTTGAGGTTTCAAAGAATAAAGATTTTGTTTTACCCCAAAATATACTTAAAGTTGGGTAGTTAAAGAAAAACAGAAGTTTCCTGACATACAAAATGTTTGTGTTCATGTGGGATTTATAATTTCAAAGCACTGGGTTACAATATTTTCTCCACAGGCTGCAAACAACTACCCAATTGCATGCTTAAAGATGTTGCTTTCCTTTGGACATTAATAACACACTATGGTTTCAAGGGATCAAACAATGAGGAAGGAAGAGGATTCCAGGTTACTCTGGGCAGTTCTTCCTCATCTCTTTGAGAGGCCCTGTAGAGGAGACTGAATAAATCAGCTTTCCATACTGGATGAGTGCTCGAAGGACCTTTGTTTTGGTTGCGCATTCTGGGAAAAGTCCTGATTCTCATAGTTAAAAACCGCTGTGGTTGGGGCCAGACCGGTGGCGCACTGCTACAGTGCGCCGCTTGGGAGCATGGCGTCACTCCCGCCGAGGGTTCGGATCCCACATACAGACCAGCCGCTCACTGGCTGAGCGAGGTGCGGGAGCAACACCGAGGGTTGCGATCCCGTGGCCAGACACGAAAAAAAGACAGAAAGGAAAAAAAAAATACCGCAGTGGTTTTAAGCCACTGACATTTTAGGATTGTTTGTTATTGTGCCATAACCTAGCCTACCCCGACAGGTACATTTCCTCAGTGTCTTTTGTCCCTAATCTTATTTTCAGTATTTGAAAGTATGCTGTGACCAGAAAAATATTAAGTACCTTGCTGTTCTTTAAGCTTAGTGCCTACAACTTCAGTGAATATTGGAGATGTGGTCCAATTAGCAAAGACAAGGCAGAGGCAGAGTTAAGTGCAAACACTGCGTGTGCACACACACACACACACACAGACACACACAGAGGGAGAGAGAGCAAGAGAGATTAATTGAGAGAGGAATGAAGGGAGGAAGGAGATACAAAGAGAATGCTTTACTGGGAACAGCTAAGATGCCATGACCAAATGCTACTTACCAGAACACTGAAGTCCATTGCCTTTATATCCCTGCTTGCATGTACACTTGAAGGATCCTTGGGTATTGAGGCAATTGGCATGGAGGCTGCACATAGGGGTAGTCACAGCACATTCATTTATATCTAAAAATGTGAACATTCCAGTGAACAACTTTGTGGTAACAGGGCTTGCTGAAAGACCACCCCTTACACTTGAGCAACTCCAGGGCCAACCACTCAACACCCCCAATGAACCAAGTGTTGCCTGAGAACTGAGAGGTGTTCAAGACTCCAGGTACATTGGCAGAGAGCCCTGCCTTTGCCTGATGCTCAGTATGTAAGGAGTGCGCCTGCAGCTCACCTCCCCCACAGCAATTTCATCTCCTGCTTATCAATGCTACCAAAATCTGTAAGATGTTTAGTTTTTTTCCATTTTTCATCTGCCTAATTGAGAACTAAATAACAATATCGGAACATAAATTCTGTAGTGGGAAGGGCTTGAAACTCCTAAAGAATGGAAGACAAGTTTGGCTAGAAACCATTGACATCATCTGAACTTGTAGGCTTAGGCATTTTGTTCAAAAACCATAGGAGAAAGGGCTGGGCTGGTCTGAGCCTGTCTGCTGGATTTACAGGAGGAAAATTTGCTGAATTCCACCCAAGCGAGAGGTTCATTTGTCCTATTCTCCATCCCATGTTCTATATATGCATTTGTAGACATATACACACAAAATAGCCTTTTGTTTTTAATTTAGCCACAAACAGAGCTCAGAAGGAACCTGTGGCTGGCTGGCTAGCTCAGTTGGTTAAAGTGTGGTGTTGTAACACCAAAGTCAAGGGTTTGGATCCTTATACTGGCCAGCTGCCAAAAAACTGGGGTGGCCGGTTAGCTCACTTGGTTAGAGCTGGTGCTGATAACCCTAATTGCTTTTAAAATCTTGAAGATCTGTTTCCTTTTGAAGCTCTCCATGTGAATTACTAGCCTGTCCTGTGGAATCTCCCCTTAGTTATCAGGGAAAATAATTATACTCTGTAATACAGCATCATTGGATTACAGAGCTGGATGGGTCTGCAGAAGGGTGTGCAGTCCAAACCTATGAGAAACATGGATTTTTATGAGCCTGTCTAGGATGGTCTTTGTGTTTGAGAAGATTTGACAAAAGAACTGTGGGGACTTCACAAGATGGTTCAAAACCCAGCAATTGAGTGTTGCCCCAACATGATTACTTAAGATGTGTCCTGGAAAGCCCTGAGTGCAGGGTTGAAAGAAGTCCTATTTTTCCCCAGCGGTTAACTTTCCATGTCATGCACACACCTATGTTACACATGTTAAGTGAATAAGAATCTACAGGAAGCCTGTGTCCCTTCGCTACTGGACACACCCCATCCTACATTATATCAAGGGTGATAGGCATGCATCCAAGGGCTCCCCAAATACCCCACCTCACTTTCTCATTGAAACTTGGAATCCCTTCACTAGAGGATAAATATTTTATTGCACACAGAATAGGCCAATAGCTGACTAGTATCAAAATCTTATCAGAGAGTAATTTTGGTGACTGTGAAAGGGAACATTTTATTTGGAGCTTGAACTATGAAAGGGCTAAAAGAAGAGAGAGAAAAGAGCACATGCCTTCTTTATCTCCTCCACACATTTTTCTAAAGCCACCCCTGATGGAAAGTCTCAGGAGCAGACCACTGAGCTCAAGATTAGACAGGCCTTGTTATACTTCCTTTCATCAAATATAAATACTGCATCACTGTTCCCAGTTTTAGATGAGTTATCTGGAGATACATCAAAAACATACAAAACCAAAACCACATTTAAAAAAAGTCCCACAAAAATCATCTCAAGATATATGCTTCCAGCAGTTATATTCCTCATTTTAAATCTTTATTGACCTGGCTTCATAATTGATGTCATTGGAGTTCCCTAAATGCCAGAAACTTAAAAAATATAACCTTTACTCCATTGTTAAGCTGGTCAGTACAGTAGACTGTTCAACTGATAGACTAAATTGACATCAAAATACTGTATCTGTGGGGAAAGCCAACAGGTTTGGTGAAAAGAGGAAAAAGGGAAACCTTACCTACACAATCATATCGGCCACTGACATATTTCAGTTCGAAACCAACATGACATTTGCAGTAATAGCTTCCAAATGTGTTCACGCATCTTCTATTGTAGGGGCAGACGGCTTTACCAGAGGCACACTCATCAACATCTAGAGTGTAGAACCAGAAGGTGCCGGTGACACTCTGCGCACATGCACGCACTCCCGCACGCATGCTCAATACTCACGCATTCCCGCAAGTTTCATGCTCCGCGCATGCGCATGTGCAGGGTTTTTTTGGGGTTGGGGGGTGCTGATTATCTCTTGCCAACACCATCTCCTCCAGGAAGTGTTCTAGATCCTTTCCAGGCACATGCACAGCTCTTAATGTATTTATATAACTTTTTACCTATTTTTGTTTTAGAGGCATCACCTCGCATTAATGTCACTACTTATATTATCTTCCCTCGTTCTTGTGGGGCAGAAAGCGTGTGGCTGGCATTTGGTACCTATACATTACATGTGTGCTGAGTGAATACATATTTCTCCCAGCTATGTATATTGTATAACATATAATTTTTGAAAATAGATTGAGATTACTACACTTTATGCAAACCAAATACACATTTGAAGTTTGCATTTTGCAAAAGAATTATTTCATTAGCAAGCTCCTCCAAGGCTCCTGCAGTATTGACTCAAATCACAGAAACATGGTTGCAAAGGAATGCAACAATGCATAAATGGAGTCAGGTGTAATTATATAACGATGCCATTTTAGCCAACAAGAGGTGTGCTCCTTTTTTACCAGTGAGAGTCGTGTTACAGAGGGGCCGACAGCTAAGATGACCAACCCAGTAGGTGTGGCGTTGTTCTTTTGGGCCTGTGGTTAAACATGCAAGTTGGTGCTGGCTTATTGTTCCCCTTGCATTCTTAAAATAATAAATAAGTGTTGGACTGACCAAAAATTATTTTTCAGTGACCGCTTTCATGCACATCATCTTTCCCTTCCAATAAAAATGGCACCCAACAAATCAAAGAGGTAGTTGGAAATTTGGATCCAGTTTGGTTAAGAATTAGCCTCGTCATATAAATCTTATTATACTAAAGAGTAATAAACCCTATAAGCCTAATTAAATCTTTGGCTACTCTCAAAGGGTAGAGACAGAATTTTAATTTACATGTGTGCTTAAAAAAAAGTGTTTAACTGATTTAGGACCTACTTGGCTGAGCATTCTAAATGCAGTTTATCAAGTTATATACGTGTAGGATAAACAAACACTCAGCACCTTGACTATTGGAATGAAGAAGTAAGATTATGAAATCATACTTATATTCACTCATTTAAATCAAAGAAGACTAAGAACTCTTTCAACATTCTCATTTGGTCTGGCATCCCTTATTAATGCTATGTGCTCACTTGCTCTAAATATTATGTACGTATATTTGGTACAATATAAGAGTTATGAGTATGCACGATTTGGTGGTTGAACGTAATTCAAATCCACAAAGGAACCAAAGCACGAAGTGAATAAAGTCTGCTTTAGTCACTGAGGGTGCCCTGTGGGTGCCCTACCCATAGTCCCTCAGCACTTAGAATTTGTAAACCTGCCAAAGGCTGCTTGCTGCACTGTGACATTCTGCTCTAATCCCCACCTGGGCCAGGTTCTGGGGGGTCATGCCCTGAAGCAGCCCTCCAATCACTGAAGGGAAGGAGTTGGTGGGGAAATATCGAGCACCCTTGCTCCAAAAAGAAAATTCATAGGCAGCTTCCCCCAGTCTCCTAGATGTCTCACAGATCATTTAACCTTCCCTTCCCAGAGTCACTTCCCTGCTCCTCAGCCAGAGTTTCCTAGGATCACTTCCCACATCAAATACTTGTTCAGGGTCAGTTTCTGTGAAATGCAAAACTAAGACACAAAATAAGACAAGAAAGAGCAAGAGACCACAGTTCTAAGGCATGGATTTGACTAAATTCAAATTTACAAATGAAGGCCTAATATGGTCCTTTAATTAATGTTATGATTTAATCTGCTCATTTTCTCCCATCAGAATTAATTACGTAATACTTAGCTCATACAATTTAGTTTTAAAGACAATGGGAAACTGGTTACATGCTAACTTAACCAAAGTAAAAGGTGTATGCTACTTTCTATAATGTTACATCTAAAAAAATAAGTAAATCTATTTTTTCCCCAGGAAAATATTATCTAGAACCCAGAATAAAGTCCAATGGCCCTTGGGATCTTACTCATTAAATGACAACATACAAGTAGTAGAGTTTCTATTGGATGGTAATTGAAGTAAAATGTGCAGGGTAAACATACTAAAATAAAATCATGTTTATCCATTTTCCACTATGGCATTAGGCAATCCAAAATAATAGAGAAATGTTCTTTCTAGCATCCCAAAGTATGTCTAGAGCATATTTGGCTAGAAATGTCATCTCAGAAATGAAGATAAATCTGTACCTTTTGGAGTTTGCAATGTCTAGTCAACAAGCCAATTGTGATGAACGCAAAAGGAGAAATTCAGTAAAGGGGGACTCAGGGGAGGAGGAGAAGGGGAGGTGATTCCTGATGTTCTACCTAGACACACTCTTCCATTTGGGGCCAGGCGGAGTCCCAAGGATGGACACAGACACCGTGGCCCTTCCTCTGTGTCTTCACAGCCGTACTGGCAGTTTGTCATGGCACATGTCCTAGAATCTGAAAAAGTAGACAAGGATTAGCCTTTCCCTCCTGAGATGATAGAAAGTGCTTATTTAGAAACTATCTTCAAATTCTGGGACATTAAATGTAACACATGGAATGGTGTGATAGGACAAGTTTCATTGCCAGAGTCCCAAATGGAAACCCAAAAGGAATCTGGGCAGGGGTGGTGTCTTGGTGGCCCCTGGGCTGAATCCCACTCATGGTCTGTTTTGTTGGCCAACACGTTGAATTTGACTGTCTTTATGTACAGCATGCACCCCTCAGACTGCATCTTTCTCTCCTCTGTATTTGTTCCGGTCACACCTTTACGTCACCTGGCTAGCCGTCATAGGTTGAAATGTGACCTCTGATGTGGATTCCCAATCTGAGTAATTAGGGTTAAAAAAAATCCATTTTAGAGATCTCTCCATGCATATCTAGCATCAATGAGAGTCACTCAAGTCACAAGACTTGGTCTTTTAGGTGACTATATTAAAACATGTGGCAGATACAGCTAATTAGCTTCCTGAAAGCCATTCTGAACCCCTTTTCTCTTGCTGAAAAGCCAGATATTTCTTTTTGGTTTTTGTTTTTTATTCCCCTAGCTTCCCTTGCAACATTGAGTGGCCATGTGACCCAGTGTGGCCAAACAGATAAAAAGATAAGGCCACTGGAGAATGTGAGGCTTCTGGAAAAGATGTTGCTGCACCATCAAAAGACTAGCATGAAAGTGGCGTTGGTTCATTGCACCACCCCTAGCCCCTTGGTTTTGCCTGCCTTCAATGTGTGTGTGATAGCTACAGCTGGGCGGCCATTGTCACTAGGAGGCCATGAGCATGAGAAGAAAATCAATACTCGGAGGACGGCAGAGACTGAGTCCTTGTTGAGCTCCTCTGGAACTGCTTGCCTCTAACTTTTTTGTAAATGAAGTTGTTTAGTTGGATTTTTTTGTCACTTATTGCTAAACATAACTTACTGCACAAAAATGCATTTTCTTAGCAGGGGTCCAGGATGTGTGGCTCGTAAGTGCATGGGGGCTAAAAAAGACTCATACGGTTCCAGCCCTATGTCCACAACAGGGGAGCATGGTGAAAAATGGAATTAAAAGATAATACAAATCTTTCCTGAACTTTTTGAAGACCCATCCTACCTCCTTCATCCACCCACCTCCATAACATGCCAATCACCTAGCTGGACAAAAGAGACTGCAAGGGGCCAGATAGAATAAAATCAGCATCCAGGAGAGAGGTTTAGGGCTACCTGAACACTTCAAGCTATGAACAGGGAGGAACAGGTAACCTCTAGGTATATAGAAATAGAAATAGCGTACAGGGCTAGAGAACCAAGGTAGTGTAATGAGCACCTGCTGATGGTTATATTACTTGTTTATTCTTTCTTCTTTTCTCTTCAGCTGTCTTCTTTTAATCTTCAAATTAACCTAAATCTATCTTTCCATTTGGGTAAAGATATCTTTTTTGGCACTGACTGGGCTTTCATGGAATGTTTTAGAAACATCATTAGCATATATCTTTTTTAAAATGTTAAGTGATTACTATAAAAGCCTAGATAGTGGTCTCCTCTGGGAAAGGGTGGGGAGAAGAGGTTCTGGCAAAGTTCTCTTTGGTGGTGGTTACAAGGGTGCTTGCCTTGTAAGAATTCGTTAAGCTATGCATGTGTTTCCATGTGCATTTCTGTTTAATTTATAATAATAAGGATTTTTTTAAAAGACCCTATGAATGCCTGCTTTATCTCTTAGGCTTGCTTGCTAATGGAGGATCTAAATGACTGGTGGCGTTGGGGCTCTTTGTCAAGGAGGGACAGGACAAGGAGGAGCCAGGGGAGCAGTGAACTGTGCAGTAGGCAAGACTTTATAACCTTGGGAAAGCCCGAGATGGGCTGGGGAGTCCGTGAGACTCTGCAACCATAGGAAGCTGGCTGAAGGCACAGGCTCTGAGTTTGCTGGGGTCTGCAGGGTGGAGGAAAAGAGATGGGGAGAAAGGCGAGGGGTTGCGGGGGCAGGTGCAGGGAAGACAGGCAGGAAGGGGGAGTTTGCCTTTCAGCTGCAACATAAAACCTGAAAAGCCTCCCCTCTCAATAAATGAATGGATATAGACTCTTACCCTCCCCCAGGATACGGGTTTTTCCTTATCACAGAAGGGCTTTTCTTTTCAGGAATGTGAGTGGGAACGTATTAGCTGCAACATAAAACCTGAAAAGCCTCCCCTCTCAATAAATGAATGGATATAGACTCTTACCCTCCCCCAGGATACGGGTTTTTCCTTATCACAGAAGGGCTTTTCTTTTCAGGAATGTGAGTGGGAACGTATTTCCAATGGGAGTCACTAATCTTTGGGAGTGGGGCAAGGGGCGTGAGAAAGGTAGTTGGTGGGAAGAATTGATGTCCGGAGACAGAGTTTAAATTTATCACCTCCCTAAAACAATATGCTTATTTTGTTTAACATGCTTATTTTCATGCAGAAACCCAACTCATCCCTGTATATATAGAGATACAGAATTAATTTTTCTCCCTAGATTTTTTTTTCCACCTAAAGTAAGTGTCCAGAATAGGCAAATGCATAGAGACAGAAAGCAGATTAGCGGTTGCCAGGGGCGGGGAGGACGGGGAGCAGGTACTGACTGATGAGTACACTTTCCTTTTGGGGTGATGAAGATGCTCTGGAACTTGAGTGTGGTGATGGTGGTACAGCACTGTGACTGTATTAAATGCCACTGAATTGTATATGTTAAAATGGTGAATTTCATGTTGTGTGTATTTTATTATAATTTTTTTTAAAAAAGTAAGTGCCTAAAGATGTTTTAGCTTGGGGCACTGTTAGGAATTTTTGTTGTTGTTGTTGTCAGCTTTTTTTTCAGCATCAAATGGCAAAGCCAAGACTCAAATGTTGACCAAGAGCAGGCCGGCTGCTGAAACTTACTTGTGCACGTGGCGTCTGGCATGAGCGTGTGGCCACTGAGGCAAAAGCACTTGTAGCTGCCGTGTGTATTCACACATCTGTGTTGGCATGGCCGGGGTTGCACTCCACACTCATTCACATCTGTGGGGGCAGTTAGAAAATGGAGACGGGTTAACGGGACCAGAGAGCATCCAGATGGGGAATACTAGACCCCAATCTTGAGAAGGATAACTGGGCTGGCTTCTCTGCACCCCACCACTTACTCGCCTCATCTCCTGCCATAAAATTCCATGTTGAAGGCTTGGTGAGGATGTGGAGCAAATGGAATGATCATACACCATTGGAGGGAACATAAATTGGTACAAACACTTTGGAAAACTGTTTGGCAGAATCTACTAGAGCTAGATATAGACACACCCATGACCTAGCAATTCTAGTTCTTGGTATACATGCAACACAAACATGGATTTGGGCTCACCAAAAAAATGCATACTAAAGTGACCATAATAGCACTATTCTTAATAGCCCCAAACTGGAATTAATCCAAATACCTCCCCACAGAAGGATGGGTAAATGACTTGTATATTCATGTGATGGAATACTATAGAGCAATGAGACAAAAAACTACAGCTACAGGCAACAATGAGGGAATCTCACCGACATGATATTGACTGGAAGCAGCTGGATACAAATAAGTACATACATATGACTCCATTTATATAAAGTTCAAAAACAAGCACAAATCATCTGAGAGATAAGAGGTCAAGATATGGTCCTCTGGTTGGGGGTGGAAGTGACTGGAAAGGGCATGAGAAGTCTTCTGGGGGGCTGTAAAGTTTCGGTGTTTGATGTGGATACTGGTTACATGGGTGTCTGAAAATTCATTGAGTTGTACGTTTTGGATATGTGCACAATTCTGTGTGTATATTACTTGGATAAAAATTAGAAATATACAGTTTAGATATTTCTGCCTTTAATATTATCCCAAGCCGCCTATGACAGATGCTGAAAGCACAGCCTCCTTTCAGTACTTAGTATATGGGGTGGTCCTGCACTGACCAAATTGCCTTGGCTCATGCCCTTCTCGAGGGAGCCCTGTCAGGCAGCCATTGGTAGTGAGTTTGGAGGACAGTATTTAATCCCATGTATAGATGTTCACAGGATGTCATTAAATGATAAAAGAAGGTTACAAAAGTATGTGTACAGATCGATCCCAAATTTGTAAAAAATAAAAATGAATAGAAAAGAAAAAAGCCTGGGAGGTTATGCTCTAAATCAAGAGTGACTTTCTTCTCTGTGTTTTCTTAAAAAAAAATTAAGAACACATAATATTTTTATTAAAATAAAAAATGACACAGAAGGAAAATAAACCTTTAAAAGGGATCGTGGGCAGAGGATCTTGCCTTTGGAAATTTGGTCATGTGGAGGCCTCATATCTTAACTCCACCAAGGAAGACATAGAGAGGAGAAAACAACCAAATTCCATGTAAGACAAAAATCCAGCGTGGCAACAGGCAAAGCGTGTCCTTGGAAATAAAGAAGTGGCTGTTTTCACCTCTGAAAAGATCCTTATGTGGAGATTTTCCAGTGCCCTAGCGGGATGTTTGAGCTCCCTTTTCCATTGTCTACCTCCTCTTCCCTCCCATCTCCCTCACAGACCATCAGCACTTCAAAAGGGGGAGAAATGCTGATGTGACGTAATGGGAAACCCAGGAATACCCTATCACTTGGCACTAACTCAGAGGTGACTCACTCATCTCTTGGAAGGAGCATTTTGGGGAATGACATCAGTTGAGGGCTGAGGCCTGTGGCCATTAACAGCTCTATGTGGTCTTGGATCATGCTGCCATGGGGCAGGGAGGCTGGCGGGGTGACAGACAGCCCTGAACATCAGCCAACTGGACCACTCCCTCAACGTTCATATTTTACTGGGACTTGAATTCTAGCATGGAAAATAATGTCTGTATTCCAAATCTCTTGAGAAGATATCTTGGTACAGAATCCAAAACACATGGAAAAGTAGGTTTTCTGGTGTAAAGCCTCTGGTAAGAGATACAGCGGAGTTATTACATATGGGAGCACGATTCTTGGCGTACCTCTCTCAAGCAGTTGGATGCAGTTCTAAGAAGCACCTTTGGGGCTCTGGCCTATATGCTGGTGGTAGGACAGAGAGATTCAGAGATTCCTCTCTGAGGCTACAGGACTGTCAGCTATTTCGGGGTATGTGGCTAACCTCTGGGCTTGGCAGCAAGGGCTGGGAATGGTAGAGTTGAGTGGGAGCCTGCCCTTCTCCAAAACTCCACTCTCCCTTTTTCTAGAACCCAGCAGCCTTTCGATTTGCTGCTGTTTGCTCAACTTCATTATATAGGACTGGGGACACTTTCTTAATTATTTCAGGTTTCTTTATACCAGGTTTCTCAACCTCGGAACCGTTGACATTTTGGCCTAGATCATTCTTTGCTTTGGGGACTGTCCTGTGCAGAGTAGGATGTTTAGCAGCATCCCTGGCCTCTACCCACTAGATGCCTATAGTACCCCTTATCCAGTTGTGACAACTGAAAGTGTCTCCAGGCACTGCCAAGTGTCCTCTAGAGAAAAAAATTACCCCAGTCGAAAATCACTGATCTATAGCAAAAACCAGAGCCCTTGCTCCAATAAGATATTTTTATTCACCATAATGTTTAGAGCAGGGTTTCTCAGTCTTGGTGCTATTGACATTTAGGTCTGATCATTCTTTGTTGTGGGGGCTGTCCTGTGCTCTGTAGGATGTTTAGAGCACCCCTGGTCTCTACCCACTAGAAGCCAGTAGCACACACCCTCCAAATGTTCAGACATTGCCAAATGTCCACTGGGGTAAGGTTCCCAGATTTAGCAAACTAAAATACAGGTGACCAGTTAAATTCAAATTTCGAATAAATGACTAATTTTTTCTTAGTATATGTATGTCCCATATGATATTTGGAACATACATATACTATAAAATTATTTGTTATTTATCTGAAATTTAAATTTAACTGGGCACCTGTATTCTCTCTGGCAACTCTTCCTGGGGACACAATCACTCAGGTTTGAGAACCACTGTTCTAGATACTATAAATAAACTTTTAAGTGTCTTCAGATAAATAGCCTAGGACAAAAGTCATAAATTGTCTTTCCAATTAAAAACTGGGCAAAGGAGCTGAATAGACATTTTTCAAAGGAAGACATACAAATGGCCAACAGGTACATGAAAAAATGCTCAACATCATTAGTCATCAGGGAAATGCAAATTAAAACCACATTGAGATACCACCTCACCCCAGTTAGAATGGCTATAATCAAAAAGATGGTGAATGACAAATGCCGATGAGGGTGTGGAGAGAAGGGAACACTCCTACACTGTTGGTGGGACTCTAAATTAGTACAACCACTATGGAAAACAGTGTGGAGGTTTCTCAAACAACTACAGATAGATTTCCCCTATGATCCAGCAATTCCACTTCTGGGTATATACCCAGAGGAATGGAAATCATCATGTTGAAGAGATACCTGCACTCCCATGTTCATCAGAGCTCTGTTTACAATAGCCAAGACATGGAACCCACCTAAATGTCCATCGATGGATGACTGGATAAGGAAACTGTGGTATATATACACCATGGAATACTACTCTGCCATAAAAAAGAATGAAATTCTCCCATTTGCAACAGCATGGATGAACCTGGAGAAACTTATGTTGAGTGAAATAAGCAAAGCACAGAGGGATAAATACCACATGTGCTCACTCATATGTGGGAGCTAAGAGAGGAGGGAAGAGAGGAAAGAAAGAACACAGTGGTGTGTTGGACTTGCGGATGGAGAGAACATTCCTTGGGCTACAAAGTGGAGTCGGGGGGAGGGAGAGGGGAAGGGAGGTTGGGGGATAATTGGGTGGGGGACATGGGTACAAGTGCAATTTGTGGTAATGGGCATACGGCTAGTATGAATCTGGCCCCCACATCATGAGCACGAGGGGTGACAATCAGCTTTGTATCTCATGAATATTCACAACCAAATATATATATATATATCAATTACAATACAAAAATGCACATCATTCAATTTCTGACAATTTCATTTTTAGATATCTATCCTCCAAAAATACTCACTCAAAAGTGCAAGGATATGTGTAGAATGATGTTTGATTTAGCACTGTTTGTGACGGCAAAAAATGGGAGACAACATAAATAATAATGGTTAAATAAAGCATTTTTAGTATACATGATAAAAGTATTCACACCAGGAACTAAGATGCAGCCTTACAACATATGAGGAAGCTCTGTATGTGCTGATATGTAAAGATGTCTGTGAGAAATATTTATGTTTGTATTATCATAGAAAAGAGCTTCAAGGATCTAGGGCAAACTTAACTATGGTTATAAGAAGGATTAGAGGTGGAGACTCACTTTTTAATTTACTTCCTTTTGTATTGTTGGGATTTTTAAATTAAAATGTACATAATTTAGGTAGTTGAGAAAAACACAATAAAATTACTTGTTTAAAGAAAAAGGAAGGCTTTTTATTGGGCATCTTGACAAAAACATCAAAATTTCTACATTTTTCAAGGAAAAGCAATTGAAGAATCTCATACTGAAATCACCTTCATTTGAAGATTCGACTTAAAAAAAAAAACCTAAGAAATCCTGCGCACCATATGGTGTCACAAACCTCGCTGCAAGGATCAAGTTTGTAGTATGACCCTGGGCTGTGGTACTGACCTTGACTGCAAGTTTTCCCGGTGTATCCTGGAAAGCATCTACATTTGTTGGGTCCCACACACTCACCAAACTTGCATCCAGGTTCGCACGTAGCTGTGGGAGGAAAAGATGTCTTGATAGAAGAACAGGAGTAGTTAGGACAGTGAAATGCATTCATGTCAAACTTAGTGGCCCTCTGTATGGCACAGAACTCGTGGGGACGTGTAGAGTTCCTCTCTAGTCTGCTTTCACCTTTTGGATGAATGAGATCACCCCCTACAGCCCACATCCAACACACGCAAGTTTATTGTGACTGCACAGCACTACCACACCTTCAGTGTTATTCAAAGAAATATAAAGCCTCCCAGACCACAGTCAGCCAGTTTTTCATGTAAACACAAAACATTTAATAAAAGAGGAGTGATGTTTGAACTGGAAGAGACTCCAGAGCAACCGTGGAACAAGTGCCAAGGTCCCTTCTCTTTTTTCTGTTTCTTGCCTCTTTATTTCTCCTCCATATTTTCTCTCCTATTTTTCTTTTGAATGATCAATATCTTTTTAATGATGTGCATTATCAGTCAAACTGAACAACTCACAGATTGGTGTTGGGAGGTGCTACATCCAGCCCTAAGGATGGGAACGAAAGCATCACGATGATGATGGTGATGATGGTGATGATGGTGATGATGGTGATGATGATGATGATGATGATGATGATGGAGGCATGAGAAAGCATGACGAAAGCAGGATTTGTTTTTCAGGTTTATTCACTTCTGAATTCCTACACTTGACACAAAGTAGGCACTTGATAAATATGTGTTCAATGAATAAAGTGGTGGCAGAAACAACAGGGATAGGATGTTGTAACTGACTGAGTCGGGGGCAAGAAAAAATAGTCAAAGATGATGGATAGTTTCAGTCCAGCTCACAGGGAGGAGATAAGGAGAAAAAGCAATATATAGAAAAAAAGGGAAATGGGAACACCCTAAGTGAAAGGGAGAGGAAGAAAAAATAACGAGTGAGAGAGAAAGGAGGCACGTAGGGTATCCAGGGTTCTCAGCAGTTTCTGGATCTAGTCGGAGCTCCGGAAATAGCCACAGTGTGAAAGAATAACTCAGCAATTGTCCAGGAATGCTGCTTACTTCTCTGCCCATCAATTCCCCTGGTTCATAGTAGGTCCACCTCTCAGCAAGCCTGTTCCTAAAGATCCCAACACCTTTCTCTTCAAGCCCAGACCCTAGTTTTTGTTAATACCACCATTCCTTTCCCAGTTACCTAGACTCAAAAATCTCAGCCATCTCTATTTTTTTTTTTTTGTCCCCAAACCAACCAGTTACAATGTCCTATCCCTGTTTCTACCACCAATTTATTCATTGAACAAATATTTATCTAGCTAATGGGAACTGCCTTGCTCACAGATACCTGGGAGATTACACAGAACCCTTCCCTCACCCTGCTTTTCCCTCTGCAGCCTGTGACTGGTGCCTCACTGATGCAGGGGTCTAGCAGCCTAGTTCCTAGTTTCCTGGAAGGACAAACTCTGTGGTACAATTAATACCCTAGAGGTCCTTGTGAGATGAGGTGGAAGCTAGACTTCTCCTGAAACCACATTTCTGCCTAGCTTCTTCCTCTGATTTCCCATTCCCTTACAGATTTCTCCTAAGAGCACCCCTCAATAGAATATTTGTACAAGAATTCCCTTTTCAGGCTCTGCTCCTAGGAAACCTGATGTCAGAGGCAACTTTAAGCTGATATTCCAAAAGCATAGCTCTGATCATGCTACTCCGTGCCCGGAAGTCATCACACAGTCTTCGATGCCTCCTGAACACAGGACAGGTATCATTGCCAAGTTAACCCACCATGATCTGGCCTCCACCTTCTTTCCCAGTCTTAGTTTACACATTCCCTAGACATAGGCAACACTATGGCCAAACTATATTGCCTGCTGTTCTCTGGACCTATCTTTCGCTGTTTGCCTCTTCCCATTCATTGTTTCCCCTCCCTCCTTCTTGTGGTACCCCTCCCCCGCCCTCCAGTGGTTAATATCCTCCCCACCCTTCAAGGACCACCTTGCATGGCTCCTTCTTCTAGAAGCCTTCACAGATTTCTCCAGCCACATATGAACTTCTGCTCAACTTTGAGAACTCCACAGAACACGGGCAGCCTCTCCTGTGCAATTGCTGCTTCCATCTTACTAAATAATTAGCATATATTTGGCTTGAGTCCTTGACTTCTACCTACTACTTGGTTCTGAGTGTCTTCAGGACAGGGGCTTAAACATTCATTGTTGTTTCTCCTGCAGTGTTTAATATAGTGCTATGAACATGTCAGATATTAAAATATTTTTGAATAATGAATAAAGTAATAGATGTACAACTTTTAACAGGGGAACATTTTATGGTCCTGGACAAATCATAGGGAAAAAATGCTTCCCCCACAAAGTTTTTCCACTTTTAGAGACAAAAGACATAGAATTTATTTTCCAGCATCTATTTTGTTATGGATATGTACTTGGAGATTCAGTCTTAAATTCAGACATTAGAAAAATAAATCTTTTATTTTCTTAAGCCCTGAAGACCTCTGAATGTTCCCTGGAAACCAATTTGCAATGTGGTCCAGACAGAAAAGCCCAGAATAAATGCCAAATAGAACATAGGAGAAATGGTGAATAATATCCCGGCTATAAGGTCAAAGTTTCAGAAAGATGTTTTCAATTTACAGTATCTTTGGATCTGTGACTTGAACAGCCAATCTATAGCAAAGAGAAATTCAGTTTGTGTCTACAATGGCCTGAGATTGAAGCGTGCTTTAGACAAAGTAAAACTCTCTTGTTCAGTTCTCCCCCAAACTCTTCCATCTGCAACTTTTAATTAGGGATTTGTTCGTGGGCAACTCTTTATTGCATTTCTCTAAAGTGACACCCATTTTAAGGCTAATGATATCAAGTTGATGAGACTGTGTCCTGGGAGCAGATTTACATAGGGCAGAGGCCAAGGGCTAGAAATCTCCAGCATGCATGGAGGCAGAGCCTCCACTGGAATGAAGGGCGATTAAATGGATGGAGAGAAAGGCCTGGGCGAGCTGGGACCTCAGAGCCTGGGGTCTGGCTCTGCTTATTTGGGCAGGTTGACTTGCGTCCTTATTACCACACAGCCCACACTCAGGCTTAGAAACCAGAAACCCAGCAATCAAGGACTAACTATCTGTTATTTGGTGCTTCAAGGAAAATATGACTTTACTGTCAAGAAGGACCATGCCAATTGGATAAAATACAATACAGATTTTAGATATAAAGATCATTGCAATTTAAAACCTGAACATTTGACTGGGGCAGTAGGGGTACTGACAATCTTTTCAGCTTGCAAAACTTGCATAGTGAGCATTTTGCTTGAACTCTCTGCACTTGTTCTTTTAACATCTTGCTTTAAATTCTTTCTTGCCCATGGTATTATAAAGTCCACGAAAACATTGAGAATGTGATTGGCTGCATGTACCATGGCCAAAATGCTTTGATCCAGTTACAGAATAGCCTTTCCAGAAAGCCAAAGCTTGTCCTCATTTATTTGCCAGCAACATGCTGGGTCTTACAAGTTTTATGGCAGCAGGGGCTGAGGTTTGTGCGACTGTAAGAGAGATTCCAAATCATGTGTCTCACGTGATTTTTGCCCCTTTCCACCTGACTGACTTCAAATAAAAATGTGTTATGTTGGGCCAGCCCGTAGCTCACTCGGTAGAGTGCGGTGCTGATAACACCAAGGCCACGGGTTCGGATCCCATATAGGGATGGCCGGTTGGCTCACTGGCTGAGTGTGGTGTTGACAACACCAAGCCAAGGGTTAAGATCCCCTTACCGGTCATCTTTTTTTTAAAAAAAAAAAATGTGTTATGTTGTGTCTAGAAAGAGAATAAAGCCACACTTGATCCCCCGTCACCTGGAAGTCCGTGATGAGAGTTATTAGTCCTTTTTGAACCAGTGGTAATTTATGAGGTACTTTCTTTGTGTGCCAAGTGATGAGCTCACCCTTTAATGTTTACACTCCTTACCCTCTGGGGGAGGTATTACTCCCCCTATATTGCAGAGGAAGAAACAGAGCCTAAGAGAGTTTACCTACCTTGTCCAAGGTCACATACATCAGTCTAGTTCTCAGTGCCCTTGATCATGACACTATAAATCCAATCAGGATGAGGATCCACCCTTTTTACTGACACAGGTACCAAGGGGATGTTCTAACTTTCTTTATCAAAGTGGGCAATGGTGATCTTCATTTTTTCTACAATCTTCGTGCTCTCACCATCTCATCACAAGGAAACTGTGATGGCAGAAGGTTTTGCATAATTTGGAACATGTGGGTACAGTATCAATGTCTTCTACTGTTTCATGGATTTCAGATATTATCCAGTTCTTCCCTCACCTATGATCAGTCCACATATTTTTGAACCAGCTAAAGAGGAAGAGGCTGGGGCAAGGACAGACCAGCAAAAAGAAGGTAGCATTGTCATTCCTAAAAATAGCTGACATATTAGTGCTTTTATGGGACATACAGGAGTGTTACTATCCCATTTAACAGATAAGGGACTGAAGTTCAGCTATATGCCACCTGCTGGGGACACAGGGACAGTGAGACCAGATTCCACACTGAAAGAATGCACTTCTGGCCAGATGGTCAGCTAGGAGGAATGCAGATTTGATTCCTCTACACCACAAGTGTTGGTCATTATGCAAAGTCATATAAAACCCCAAACAAGGCAAAACTCTATGCTTATCTCTGCTGTCCTCAACCATTTTGAAATTATCAGAGGCTTCTGTTGGGGTTCCTAACACATGGTCTGAGAAACATTGTCTAAGGCAAATTATGGTTCCTTAGTTCACAATATGTACAAAAGAATAGGAAAAATATTCAAAATCTTTGCATATATGCATGTGTCCCTTGAAATCATTTAGAAATTGACATTACAAACTTTAAAAATGTGAGTAACAAATATATAAGGTAAAAGACTTACTTTTTATGTCTGAAACCTACTGATTGGGTTATTAATAATTAAAAGTATATTTCATTAGAAATCAGTTGGAAAAAACTATAATTAGAAAGAGGAATTTATTGGCCTGTTTTTGCCCATCCCAGTTTCTCCAGATTTAAAAAAAAAAAAAAAAAAAAAAAAAAAA